CTTGTTAAAGCAATTCGGTCAGTTTACTCTCTGTGGGAAGCCATGCTTTAAAATCCCAGGTGGTTAGTAAGGGGATCATAGTCCAACATGAGCCAGAATTTCTAGGATTCTGTGACTTTGGGCTTGGTGTTGTAACACATTTTATGTCAGTGGTGGCAATTTCCTAATTCTCAATTCTTGTAAAAATAGTATTTTCAATGTGCATGTAAGTAGTTACTCACTAGGAATTCATAACCAACTTTACCCCCAAAAATGTTAACATGAATATTGTCTTGGATACTTGCCAAATGTTAGTTCTTTGCTATTTTTTTCAAGAAGTCATGGGGAGACAATAAGAATTGGACTGTCTATGACGTACAAATAACACACAAGTACATTATGGCTATTCCTAGTAAAGAAGCAAGGACGAAGTTCTATCAATTAAATAAGAATTGCAAGGCTAAGCATAAATGAATATTTTGCTAAAGAAAGGTACACAGTGTGAAGGTAATTGTGGTCAGAAACAATTATAGCATTTGGTTATTATTAAGCACAGTGTTAGAAATCTAATTCCATATAGCATCTTTTGCAGTATCATGCAAATATCTTCTCAAAATTATCTAAAATAGCTAACACTAAAATTTTTCTTGTTTACAATCAGATCAAATTTCTGAAGAAAGCAACAAGTGCTTATTTCTGAGAAGCTTGAGGATGTTTGCAGACATTTAAAACTTGAATCCTCATTTTTCCTCTTCCCTGTATAACATCTCTTCTCGTCAACATATTTTTTTCTTTTTGTTTTTCTTTTTTTAGTTTGCACAGCTGTAGTTAACTAGGGACCCATTCATCCAGTGAAAGTGCAGCTGCGGTTATTGGAACCAAGCTCAGTGTGGATTTAATCAAGGATCATTGGTTCATTCCTTTTTTTTTTTTTTTTTTTTTTTTTTTTTTTTTGGTACTGGGGATCGAACTCGGGTCCTTGCGCTTGCAAGGCAGGCCACCAAACCGCTGAGCTAAATCCCCAGCCTGGTTCATTCCTTTCTCAATAGCTTTAATTTGAAATGAACAGAAAAAAGAAATGGGTAAGGGGTAAAGGAAGAGGAAGGAGAATATTCTTGACATTGAACAAGAAGGTGAAGAAACTCTGATTCCCTGAATGAGCCTGCTTCTTCACAGGAAGGCCAGCGACTGTGTGTGAAAGGAGGTGGAGATATTGCGTTGATTTTTTCATTTTCTTTTGTGTCTAAACAAATGAGTCCTCCCTCCACTTCAGCTTTTATTTTCTTCCGTAGTTCGATATTCTTGGTATGTGTAACCATATACCGATACGTCAACATCCTTAATTACTGAAGTTGTACAGCATTTCTTAAGGAACATATAAAGAGTAGTATACAAAGAAACAGAAAATGAGAAACATATTTGAAAAGGCCTATACCATACACTAAATCACACAAGTAAAGACTTCTTTGATTTGCTGGGATTGTTCAGAATGACACTGCCTTACTATTAACACTTGATGCAATATAATCAAATTTTGCTCTATTCATTTATTTCCAACAATCTTTGAGTCACAGAAAATATGTAACTTTGTCAATATTCCAGTTGTGTAATTTTCTTTCTTTTAAATATTAAATATAATGTTGTATTCTAAAAATTCTTTTGGCTAGTTAAGATTCCAAAGACTGAGAATACATTTGAATTTCCTCCAAGAATAACCAAGATAAGTTTTCCAACATTTCTCCTGTGGAGAAAGCCAAGTCAAACTAATGGAGCTCCAAAATATAGAGAGGGTAAGGACAGCTACAGCCTTTGCCTTTTTTCCATGTCTTTAAGATTTACTGTTAAAGTAATGAACTCTGTAAAATAAAAAGCAGTTATCATGAAACTGTATCATCAGATGCTTTTGGACTGCTTACTACTGAAACTACAAATTCCTGGAGATTACCTAAGAAATACAAGACATTGATGCTCACTCAGGGAACTTTCCAGTTAATTCAAGGAAGGCAAAAGCAAAATTAAGGAATAACCTAACTAGGCTCCAGTGGGGAGGTATGGTAAGCACATTAGATGTTCAAAGACCAAGGGTGAAAGGAAAACTTTTCCAGTGGCTTTATTAGAAAAAGCCTTCTCAGAGCAGACAGAATTTTTGATCTATCTTGAAGAAAGTGAAGGATGAAGAGTAGAAGATTGTTTCAGGTTGGGTAACCCCTGCAAGTCTTTTGGACCTTTGATAAATTGTGGCCCTACAGACAGCAGTGGAGAGACTACCTAGGGATTTCAATGGTTTAACTCATGGTTGTTGGGCAAGAGGACAAAGTGGTTAATCATGTTGAGGAGAGGCCCTGGGATTTGTGCTGGTGGCAGGAAAAAAGTGGAGTATGATCTGGAAACCATTAAGAGTGTCTCATGGAACATTCTTCCAACCCTGAATTCTGCTTCCTAAGTCTTTCTCTGGCCTTGCTTTCAGTAGATGTTAACCAGGCAAGAGGATTTTTATATTACATGAATCTGTATCATTTTGTCTAAAACTGGATTGCTTTTGACAGGTAGTAACTTTCTTGGGCTCTCAGGATGATAACGTCCTTTTGTGGATTGTCTTATTACAGTAAAGAAAAACAACACAGAGCCCTTCTCAGTGAGCCACAGTGCAAGAAGACAAATGCCTTCCTATAAATGGCAATAAAGCAGTGACTGCATTGAAAGCACTGTTTCCACAGGTGCTGACAATTGTCATTCTCAATCTTGCTACTATCTTTGCAGAAAACCAACATCAGCAATGCCCAGACCACCAGCCGCAGCAGGGAACAAGGACATTTTCAATGAGAAGTTAGGTGGAGTTACACGTCGCTTCCTGAGGAGGCTGTGCCACCCAATAGCCCACCTCCAGTGGCAATTATCTGCTATCTGCTGCAGGTGGAGAAACCTTTTCACCCCCCCCC